CGATTTAACAAAGTACAAAAGCACAAGCCTAACTGTTAGCACTTGATCCCATTGATGTCAGTGGGACTAAAGCTACGCAGACGGTTAAGGACCCTGCTTGATAAGTGTCTGAGCCCTGGTCTACACTATGGGGTTAGGTCGAATTTAGCCGCGTTATGTCGATTTTATAATGAATGCATCTACACAACCAACCCAGTTCCATCGACATAAAGGGCTTTTAAAATTGACTTCTGTACTCCTCCCCGCCGAGGGGAGTAGTGCTAAAATCGACCTTGCTGGGTCGAATTTGGGGTAGTGCAAATGCAATTTGATGTTATTGGCCTCTGGGAGCTATCCCAGAGTGCTCCAATGTGACCGCTCTGGACAGCACTTTCAACTCCGATGCACTAGCCAGGTACACAGGAAAAGCCCTGGGAAATTTTGAATTTCATTTCCTGTTCGGTCAGTGTGGCGAGCTCAGCAGCACAGGTGACCATGCAGTCCCCCCAGAACCGCAAACGAGCTCCAGCATGGACCGAAAGGGAAACACTGGATCTGATTGCTGTATGGGGAGAAGAATCTGTGCAGGCAGAACTTGGATCAAAAAGAAGAAATGCTAATACATATGCCAAAATCGCACAGGGCATGATGGACAGAGGCTACAACAGGGACACACAAGTTCCATACCCTCCTCACCCAGACTACCAAGAACGCGGGGGCAGGAGGCTCCAGGCACCCAGCCACTCCACTCCAGAGGATGGCCCAAGCAACAGAAGGCTGTCATTCAAACAGTTCTGATTTGTAGTGTGGCTACAATAAGCAATGTGGCCTTGTCCATCCCTTCTCCCACACCCCACCCCACCCCACCTGGGCTACCTTGTCAGTTATCTCACTTTTTTTTTAATTAATAAAGAAAGAATGCCTGGTTTCAAAACAATAGTGACTTTATTTTCTTTGCCAGCTGTGACCCAAGAGGGGAGGGTGGTTGGCTTACAGGGAATTAAAATCAACAAAGGGGGCGGGTTTGCATCAAGGAGAAACACACACAACTCTCACATGGTAGCCTGGCCAGTCATGAAACTGGTTTTCAAAGCCTCTCTGATGTGCAGCACGCCTAGCTGTGCTCTTCTAATCACTCTGGGTGTCTGGCTGCTCAAAATTAGCCGCCAGGCAATTTGCCTCAACCTCTCACCCCGCCATAAACGTCTCCCTCTTACTCTCACAGATATTATGGAGCACACAGCAAGCAGCAATAACAATGGGAATATTGGTTGCGCTGAGGTCTAACCTAGTCAGCAAACAGCGCCAGTGAGCTTTTAAACATCCAAAGGCACATTCTACCACCATTCTGCACTTGCTTAGCCTGTAGTTGAACTGCTCCTTACTACTGTCCAGGCTGCCTGTGAATGGCTTCATGAGCCATGGGAGCAAAGGGTAGGCTGGGTCTCCAAGGATAACTATTGGCATTTCAATATCCCCCACAGTACTTTTCTGGTCTGGGAAGTAAGTCCCTTCTTGCAGCTGTTCAAACTGCCCGGAATTCCTAAAGATGCGAGCGTCATGCACCTTTCCCCGGCTGGCCATCCCACGTAGATATTGGTGAAACGTCCCTTGTGATCCACCAGTGCTTGCAGCACCATTGAGAAGTGCCCCTTGTGGCTCACGTACTGGTTGGCAAGGTGGTCCGGTGCCACAATAGGGATATGCGTTCCGTCTGTCGCCCCACCACAGTTAGGGAACCCCATTGCAGCAAAGCCATCTACTATGACCTCCACATTTCCCAGGGTCACTACCCTTGATAGCAGAAGGTCAGTGATTGCATTGGTTACTTGAATCACAGCAGTCCCCACAGTAGATTTGCCCACTCCAAATTGATTCCCAACTAACCAGTAGCAGTCAGGCATTACAAGCTTCCACAGGGCTATCGCCACTCGCTTCTCAACTGTCAGGGAGCTCTCATCTTGGTATTCCTGCGCTTCAGGGTGGGGGAAAGCAACTCACAGAGTTCCAGGAAAGTGTCCTTACGAATGCGAAAGTTTCGCAGCCACTGGGAATCATCCCATACCTGCAACACTATGCAGTCCACCAATCTGTGCTTGTTTGCCAGCCCAGAATCGGCGTTCCACTGTATCAACCAGCCCCACTGCCACCATGATGTCCCAATTGCCACATCCCGTGCTTTCAGGAGCGTCTGTGTCCATGTCCTCCTCACAATCGTCCTCGTGCTGCCGTCTCTTAGCCAGGTTCTGCACATACTACAGTATAATGCGTGAGGTGTTTACAATGCTCACAACAGCAGCGGTGAACTGAGCGGGCTCCATGCTTGCCGTGCTATGGCGTCTACACAGGTAACCCAGTAAAAAGGCACGAAATGATTGTCTGCAGTTGCTTTCACAGAGGAAGGGGAGACTGATGACATGTACCCCAAACCACCCGCGACAATGTTTTTGCCCCATCAGGCATTGGGAGCTTAACCCAGAATTCCAATGGGCAGCGGAGACTGTGGAAACTGTGGGATAGCCGCCCACAGTGCACCGCTCCGTGAGTCGATGCTAGCCACGGTACTGAGGACGCACTCTGCCAACTTAATGCGCTTAGTGGGGACATACACAATCGACTGTATAAAATAGATTTCTAAAGATCGACTTCTATAAAATCAACCTAATTTCATAGTGTAGACATACCCGGAGTTAAGGAGGAGAAGGATGGCATAGATGCAGGAAGAGGGAAGTAAGTGTACAGAGTGTGAAGAGAAAATTTTTTTAAAGGGGTCAAAAAGGTGTGTGTGGAGGGGTGGGGAGGAGAATGGAAACTCCTCTGTTCTTCTCTAGCCTCTCCCATTTTTCTGTTATCCTATCATCCAATTCCCTTCTCTTCTCCTTCATCTTTCCCTCGCTTCCTCTGCCTTTCACTTCTCCCTCTTGCCTTCTAGTCCCCTCCATGTCTTGAAAAGTTTTCATTGATTCTTTCTTTTTGTTAAATCCTCTCCTTGCAACTGCCACTAGCCTACACATGCCTTCTCCTCTGCAATGCCAACCTCCCCAGTAGCACATTATGTCCATGACTGACAGGAGACACTGCCTGTGACAGCACCAATTCTACAGCGCAGTGGCCACCGGTGCAGTAAAAGAATAAAAAAAGGCAACCAGAAAGAGAGCTCAGAACCAGGATGCGCCCGTACAATGATGAAATTTGTTTCTTTAACAGAAGTAGAGTTGGCATGTATTGTACAAAGGGAGATCAGTATCATGCATTTATGGGTAATGCATGGTCTGTTCCTGTTTATACAGTAAGGCTAACTGAGTTTCAATTGCTGCAGCTGCATAAAGCAGTTTTCTGGTCCCACTAAGGTCAGGGTAGAATATTGTTGCGTTCAGTATTAGTTTGCAAATTGCACTCTCATGGGTTTGACATAAAGTGATGAGGAATTGAATAAAATGTAAAATCATTCAGCGACATTAATTCTGCAAGTGTGGAACTGATGCAAAGGCTCCTTTTTTAAATTCTCTGTGTGACAGCAATGACTCAATACATCCATTAGAGTCCAGACTTTCAGCGGTCTGCAGATTAAAATCTCCAAGCAGTGGCTTTAGACAAGGAATTGAACAGAGCTGAAATGATAACAACCCTGGGCATTTTGGGAGCAGTCCTGAATTGGGGCTCTTGTCACAACTGGTTCTGATCAAAGAGATGACTAGTTTTAACTCTCTTCCTACAGCAACCAGGGAAGATTGCAAGGTTTAAAAGTTTTCCCATCAGCCGCTTGCTGTTTTCTCTCTCTTCCAGTTGTGCCCTCTGAGACAGGGTTGCTCGAGCAGCTGTGTAACTGTGTCTGTAACTGTGACATTTCTTCCTTCCGCTCAAGCCTTCGGGTCTCATCCCTGCATTGAAATAGATTCAACCTTCACCATTCACCCCTACATACCTGCATTAAAGACCACTAAATGGCCTTCAGTGGCTGAGGAGTAAAATCACTGTCAGCTTCAATATCCCTCAAAATGTTGCAGTGCTAGGGAACTTCACTGTACATCCTGAGGTTTTTGGGCTTCTTTATAAAAGCAAGTGGTCCATAGAATCTTTACCGCACTGTTTCCAATGCAGTAGCTGATTTTATCACAAGGTTTACAGGATCTAATCCTCTGAGCCCCTGATCAGTTCCCCGCTTTAAATCTCTCCTGTACAGCCTCCATTTACCCTTTTGGTTGTGATTCATTTGCTCTCTAATGGATTTTGTAACACGGTGTACAAAAGATACATTATACAAATAAACAGCCCTGTAATTGTGATATATCAGACACTCTAATGCAGGTGATCCAGGGATATCACCGATAAAACATTGTAGTTCTCTACTGCCTTTTACCCAAAGATCCCAGAATGCTTTGTCAACATCAAGCCAGCCTTGTAATACCCCGAGGAAGTAAAGCTGTAAGCACTATTGTCCCCATTTTACAGATGGAGGAAACTGAATATCAGAGAGTTTAAGGTGTTTGCTCAGGGTGTCACAGTGAGACGGGGCAGAGCCAGAAATAGCCTCCAGTTTCCTCCATTCTCCCCTTTTTAAAGGACAGAAGCTGCTTCGAAGGAAGGAGCTACAATAGTCTCACATCTCAGTGGGCAACTGCCTCTAGGTTATTCCTTTTGCATGTTGCTTTTAACAAAGGGGAAATATAATCTGATGGTTGGAACACAGAGTTTTGGAGTCAGGCATTCCTGGATCTGCCACTAACCCACTCTATGACTTTAACCTCAACGCTTAACCTCTCTCTGCCTCCATTTCCCTATCTGTAAAGCACAGATAGTACTTAGCTACCAATTTTGCAGGTGCGAGGCCTAGAGAATGTATGTAAAGTGCACTAAGATCCCGGGATAATACATGCAAATAATTAATTTATTTCTAATTCCTATGTCCCATAAGTCCTCTCTTAGGAAGAGCAATAATCCAATGATTTATTAGTATAGATGCAATTATATTGCTGGTTTGTCACTCACCTGAATTAAGGCATCTCTCTCTTTTTTTCCAGGGCCGGCAGTCCTTCCTCAGAGATCATGCAGATTGATTTTGAAATTGAAGACCTAAGTGATCAACCTGGGACCCAGCTTATCACGTGGCAGGTTGAATATCCTGGGGATACGACATCTGATCTAGGAGTCTCCAAGATCTACATAAGCCAGAAGGATCTTGTGGGAGTCCTGCCTTTGGCCATGGTAAGGAACTACCCATTACTTTGAATGTTGTTTACAACTATGGCAGCAAAGGTACGTACATTCTGTGCAAAAGGGTAGGGAAGAGCTCCACTCCAGTGATGAGGTTTTTCTTAGGGCTTGAGTCCAATGTTCTTACCTTGTTGCTAGCTGATCAGAGAAAACCAATTACAATTTTCATTCAAGAGCACTAACAACTACAAAGTGAGATAATTTATTTTATTTCCCTGAAGTATTAAGAATATAATTAATATTGATATTACAATACAAATTGAGTTAGTCAAATCAAACTGTTAACAGTAATACAATTTCAAATTGGATAACTACAAAACGTTCAACTTAAGACCAACAATTGGTCAAGTTATTGCATGAATGCACCAGTAATCAAATCACAAAGCTAACATAACACAAATGATTAAATTACTTATTAAACTTGCAATCTCTATGGGGTTTATTTAGCAGCTTTAACTTTCCCTTGAGGAAAGAATAGGCTAAGATGCAATTTTTATGTATCCCAAGTGATTCTTAGAGATCTATGATAAGATTTGCTTTAAACATAGGTTAATCCATTCCTAATGGTACCTTATACTCTGCATATATACGCACTTGCTATTACTATTAATGGACACCCCCTCCCCCCAAAAAGACTGGGATAGGTCTTTCCTGGTACACATCCCTGCATAGGTGTTCAAATGTCCTGTTAAGGAGACAAAAAGAATAAAGTTCCTTAGAAAAAGTATCTGCTCTTTAGCTTGCTGGTCTTGGATGCTTCATAGTCAGTCAGGAGCTGCCATTTGGGAAACCAGGCAATGGCTTGTGTACCATCACACAAGTAGGCGTTCTCCTTTTAAGGTGTGTTTTCTGAGTCACGAGTTTGTCTCCTTCCCAGATAAGTAAAATTAGAGACTAGCAGGAAGGGATTATTCTACTCAGATGATCTCAAACCCTTGTGTTTAGGTGAACAGCTAAGACTCTTGACTGTTGGGACCTGTTGTCTTCCAGGTCATAACCTATGACCCTTTGTCCTTTGAGTTACAAAATACAAATGTAATTCTTTACCCATTCACACGTCTCAAGCTCACATTTCCTCAAGATGGGCCAGGCTTCATAAATAAAATGAGAAGAATGTGCAGAACTGTCACCGCATCTGGGATGCTGGGTGAAAGGTTATTTCACTCTCTCTCAAGGCTGAAAGTCAAGCTGCTTCATTAACTTATTAAAAATATAACCAAGTAAAGTCTATCCTGTGTCTACATGAGTGTGTACCTAGATGTTCTACACGAGTATCTCAGTAAAACTGCTTCTGACTCCAAAGCTGTCTCATTTATTGCTGAGTGTGTGCATAAAGGCTTCCACAGTTGCCTGCATAGGATCTAATCCTGCTCCCTTTGAATAGAGTTTTGCTGTTAACCTCAAGGAGAGCAGGGATTGAGTGGATGGTCATGGCATCCCCCAGTATTCTAACCTCACGCCTATCATAGCACACAAGGGTTTTCCTTGGGCACCAAATTCAGCAAGGTACTTATGGACCTGCCTACCTTTAAGCACACGTATACTCCCATGGTCACCATTTAAATCTAAGCCCATGCTTAAGCCTCTTCCTGAACTGGAAGCTTGTATTGCTTTCGAGCGGTGGCTCTGATTTATGTGAGGGGCAACCAGTCACAATGTGTCACTTTCCAAAGAACTGTGAAGTACTTGGAGAATGAAAAACACTATGTAAAACCAAATATCTATTTTCCATCACCCTGCTCACAAGGATAACTCCATAATCACTATACAGAGAAGATGCTTCAAAAAACGTGTAGTTCTTTGACCTTGATCTCATCTAAGAAGACACTTGGATGCTCCAGAGTCACACTGGAAACAATGTAGTGTGTGGTTCCTCCCCCCTTAAATTACCTTACTGTCAGGGATGAAGTATAATCATCTAAGATTTGATTGCCCAGTGTCTGCTCCTAGATCATCAATTAGAAAATATTGACACGTGTTATTATTTAGCACTGAAAGAAAAATAAAAATCAATCATGAAGTGTTTAAAAATAAAACGAACTTGGATTGTTGCCTAGTGACAGCCAGTTAATTATTATGCCATTAGTGAAGGTTGAGGGTGTTATTGTGCATGTCAGAACTACACATAGCTGATATAGGCTATTATTGTAATTTACCAACTTTAGAACAACTCAGATGTCATTCTGATGCTTTATTTCACCAAATAGGTATTTCACTTCTCTCTCTCTCACACATTTTTTTTTAAACAGCTCTAGTTTCCAATGCTGTAGTAGATATCATAGTTGAAACAGCTGCTTCCATCTGGGATTGTGGTCACCTATCACATTCTAGCCATGTTTTTTATAAACGCATTGCTTTGCAGGAATGTTTTCATATGCTAGTTCTCACTGTCAAGTAGCAGGTGAGCTCTGCCAGTTTGTTGATAACTGAGGGAGGCTTGAGGGAAGTTGGATCCAGATCTGAACTTCCACAAAGTTCGGAGGTATTCAGAGCTGAAACCCTAGATCTGATCTATTTTATATAATCTGTATTATTGGGGGGTGGGTATGCACCATGTCTGGATGAAAGAATGTGTTGCCTTCCTAGCAGTGCCAGCAGAGGAAAACACTATTTCTGCCTATGTATGTCCATAACCCAAAACATAGCTGGGTAGAGTTGATCCTATTTTTTTGGTCAACCAAATCTTTAAAAAAAGAAACAACCATGTTCCTTGTAGTTGGTGCAAAACAACCAGTACTCTGTCGTCACTCGACAGATAAACGGGACAATGTGTTGTCAATAAGTCTAGAATTGCATATTCACTTCATTATGAAGTCTACAAAGTTAGCAGCAAATGACATTTTGCAAGGCAACAGGTGTTTGGGGTAAAGGGTGACAGAGGAAGCATAAAGCGACAAAAAGCATGAGCTTTCGTGGGTGAATACTCACTTCGTCAGATGCATGTAGTGGAAATTTCCAAGGCAGGTATAGTCTGCAGGGCTCTAGGCACCAGACGAGAAAGCATATGCCTGGGGCGGCACATTGTAAGGGGCGGCATTCCAGCCAATCTTGGGGCAGCATATTCCAGCTGCCCTGCCGTGGTTTTTTTTGTTTTTTTGTTTTTCTTTGGCAACCCAGTCCGCAGCTCTGGAGCCCCCATCTAGCTCCCCGTGCTCCACCAGTCCCACCCCAGCCGTGCAGGGGCACGGACCCCGGCCTGGGGACGCAGGAACTAGCGATCCCCGGCGCTCACTGGGCTCCCCGGGACGTGCCACTCCCTGCCGCCTGCACCGGGCTCTGCCTCCCGCGCTGCTCTGAACCCAGCTGAGCCAGCAGGAGAGGCACCCCAAGGCTGGAGGGGGGAGCCCCTCTCACCCGGCTGCGAGCGGGCTGCAGCGCCTGGCTGCCCATAGGTGGAGAGAATGTGCGGGCGCCGCCCTTCATTCCCCTGCGAGCCGCCTTGACCTCCCTCCATGCACTCCCTGCGGCTGCCATTTTTTTTGCTTGGGGCGCAAAAAAGCTAGAGCCAGTCCTGATAGTCTGTTAGTCTATAAAGTGCCACAGGACTCTTTGTCGCTTTTTACAGATCCAGACTAACACGGCTACCCCTCTTGAGAGGAAGCATAGATATATGGCAGCGGTCTCATGGTTACTGACAAAACTGAGGATAGAGTTAACCTTCTTTGTATTATCTGCAGTGTTCGTGAAGAATCCCAAGGGTATCACAAATCTGCAAACCTTTGTAGTACCTCACTCTGCACTTAGTTAATGATGGTTCAGGTGCAAACCTTTCAATATGTGTAACTCTTTGTAGTCTGGCACTTCAGATTTCCCTGTGACCTTGTCAGAGCCAGGGTTGGGGGTTTTTTGGGGGGAGGGAGGGGCGCAGGGACGGAAATAACAATTTTTTTTTAAATAAAAACCATATTAGCCAAAGTCTGCTGTTCAGGGAGAACAGCAATGAAAGCAAAACTGTTAAACTGCTCATATATTTCTGTGAGTTGGGACTAGCTCAGGTTAGCATTGTTGGGCTTTCATTATTTATGGAGCATGTAATTTCATGTTTGTAAATACCAAAATGCAGTGCAATTGAACCTGGTGATTAGAAGCTAATCTTCAAAAGAACACTTTTACATCTTAAAATGTTATACTTTTTTTTAATAGACTATCACTTAATACCCTACAACCCTTTTCTATTCTGCAATTTCTTTTTTGATTACTGTCATGGATTTGTGATTCCGTAACAGTCAATTTGCTGAATTGTATTTTTTAAGTTAGAAATCTCTAAGAGAAAAGATAATTACTTTCTGATTAATGCATCTGACTATAGATTCTATCCTGGGTCATATCAACATTAAAATTTATTGGAAATTTCCTATCTCCATTAAAATGATTAGGACCGTTGCTACAACAACCTTACCTTTCCCCAATACTGGGTGCAGTTTTCTACAAGAAGCCAGCATTTTAACTTTTGGAACTCCGGCAGGACTATTCCACAACAAGCATAACAGGGCTCTAGGATACTGATGAGAGAAGCTGTGCCATGCATATTATGGATGTGTGGGTACCATAAAAAACAGCCCCTTCTGACACTTTACTAACTAAGCCCTTTCTAATTTTAAAGTGTGACAAAATCCATTTAGGTAAGTTATGCGTGAGAGCCAAGCATGCTCTTGCCAGTGGGATGAGAAGTAGCACGGCCGAAGACTTGTTTTATTCAGCGTGCGTTGCCCGAGCCTTACTTTGCATTGGAATATTAATTTGCACCCTCATTTGGAAGTTGGAATGTGTGGGGAACAATGCCCTTTTAATCGGCTTTTTAAAATGGGACGTTAGTGCTGCTGAAAGGTGCCGTGCAGACTGAAATCCTCTAGCCAGACAGGTGTGGCATAGGAGACGGCAGTGCCACTTCCCCATGCTGTCCCACCAATGTTCTTCTATCATCACAATCTGCAGGGAGCCTCTCTAAGAGCTGGGAGCGTAGTGCATTGTCCCTGACCATTCAGTCAATCTCTGCTGAGACTGCCAATTAGTGCCAATTGCAATGTGGAGGCACGTTTATTAGGGACTGCAGTGAGACATTTTGGGACTGATCCAAAGTCCATTCAAGTTAATGAGAGTCTTTCCATTTCTTTCAAGGGGCTTTGGAGATGGCGCTTTAAGGGAGGCTACCAAACAGCCTCCAGATTTTCGGTCACTATTGATCTGGGATGGATTTGAACCAGTGACCCACAGGTGAAAAACTGCATCACCAATCCCCTGAGTAATCCTGTCCCCAAAACCATTGCATTTGGCTTATGAAACAGAGTAGCTTTGTTGGCCTCCTCTGACTGGCCGCGGGTTCTGCTTTCTCTTTTATCTGAGGATGACTCAAATCCAAAGATAAGAGCTAACTAAAGCACCTTTCAGGTGCTGATGATCCAGTGATCCCCAAAATCAATGTTGACAACAAACACTGATGTGCTGGAGACCAGCCAGCCTTAGTCCATAACTCATAAACACATGCTTGCAAGTCACATTTACTAATAATAAAGCCCTGTTACGCCCAGATAAGTCACTTACAACATCTGGATAGGTAGTCAGATTATGGTGACCACCTGTTCTGGCACTGGGGATGCACTGCTCATCCCATTAAGCTGATGAAACGTAGGCAGAGATGCTTATCCTGGGTGCTACAGGTTACAAACAGTACATGGCCTATCTCCACAATTGCCTTGCAGTGCATCTTACAGACCTCACAGAAATGCAATGTCTCATTTACATGAAAGGGGAAATCCCACAGAGCCCGGAGAATGAGGTGAATATTCCTTCCCTTAGATGGATTATTATGGCCACACATCAGTTAAAGAAGTTTGGGCCAGATTCTGCTCTCAGTTCCGCAGGGCAACTCGTCAGTAATCACAGTGTAAATGCAACTCATCACCTAATGTATCACGTAGAGGGGATCTTTCTCTGCCACTCCCTCACCTCTCAGATTGTAGAGTGGTGGTAGAACTACTTTGCAGCCCCATCCTAATGCTACAGTAGCTCCACGTCCCCACTGTACCCCTCCCTCCAATGGGGAGGGATGAGAGGATCTTTTTAGTTGTCAAACTTCCACCCCTGATCCACCCACTGACAAATACCATGGCATAATTCCGTTCAGAGAGCACCTGCCGAGCTACAATGCACAACGTCTGCTGGTTGTGAACTCCCTACGTGGCCTCCCCCCGTAAATCCTTTCCCTCTCTGCTTGTGGTTCTGTTGTCAGGGGATGTTGTGTGGGTGAGGGAATGAGGGAGAGGAGTGTTCGGGATGTGTCCCCTTTTTACTGGCCCTACAGAAGTATTTTATTCCACGATAACAGATGGAGAGGCCACTGGGTTTCCACACAGCATCCGAGTCTGTGGTTTAAAAAAAAAAACAGAACCCCAAAACAACTCCTCAGCAGTTCAAGTCCAGTTCCTTAGATACAGTTAATAAGCTCGAGCTTCATCTCTGCACACCCGTTCAGTCTCTTCAAATATGCTGGTAATGATCCATCCGTATAATCATGGACCTTGTCAATTCCTTTAAAATCCTTGGAAATGTGAAGTTAAAGTGGTGTTAGTGCCATTCATTTGTTACCTGAAATCATCATCCGAATCTTCCTCAGTAGAATAACACCTCACCCAGAGGTTTGTTGAGCTGCGGGCTGATGATGTACCATGACAGCCGGAGGGACTCGACTCCTGGATTTTCCAGATACAGCATTATCTTTTATTGTCACCATAAAGAATCAGCCTCACCGTTTTTATTTGGGTTTTTATTTACCCTATTCCATCTGTTTTGTTAAATAATCAACTACACAATATTTACTGTTCCATTTCTTTTTTATCTTTAAACATCCCACCAGCTATTTTGTAATTATGACATTTGCCTTTTGTCAAACCTCAGTGATTCGGAGTAGAGCGAGAGATGCAAATACCGCTGAAGCCCTCTGTATACATGCAAGTTCATCTCTATTGGACGTAGGCAGAGGGCAAGATTAACGTGCTGGTAAATGAATGAGTCAAAATGATTGATTAATCATAACAAGTAAAACAAATCCGTTTTGGAATTGAACTGGGATTGAAATACCCAAATCACCTGACTGCCTCAGTGTATTCCCCAAACCTTCTCCATACTGGAACCCCTTCTCAGTGCATCTAGCTAGCACCTCACTCATATTTAGCAATCTGGGGAGGGCAGAGAAGTGATGCCCCTCTGATCCCTTTTTGTGATCTCCCTGTGGGTCATTGTCTCAAGGCTGAGAACCCCTGTCCTAACTAGAATAGCCAGTTGATTGGTGCTAACCAAACACTACTCAAGGTGGCTCGCTTGAATAACAGTAAGAGTGAAGCCGCAGCAGCATGGGGCAGCACCCGCTGTACAAGCCCACCTGGGATCCTGTGCATGTACTCGAGTGGGGCTAGCCCATGCTGCCAAAGCTTCACCGCTCTTGTTATCCAAGCTATTTAGATCAAAGCTAGTTGGGTATGTGTACAAGTGCTGCAGTCCCCCCTCTGACTGCAGTACAGATGTACCCTCTGTTTCACTCTACTCACATTGCACAAAAATGTCAGCGTGTTGGTTAGTTTCCCTTCACAAATGTCTTGATCGTTTAGCGGGTCTTTTCCAGTTAGTTCTGCTTTGGGGGGCTTTTCCTGGCCAGGTAGCTTGTTAGACCTGCCACTGTGCTGCACAAATCCTATAGACCTATACATCAGCACAGTCAATTATGGAGTCCAGTTGGATCAATAAGACAAATGTAGCTGCCCTGATGCCCATGGTATTATGGTTTAAAGGTGTGTCCTTGGACTAAATGGTCCTGGGATTCAACTAAATTAGAACCCAGTGCTGTGGTGAACGTGGGAATCATCGTAATATTTTTATGAGCCATATGTATGCCTCAGTTTCCCTACTTGCTTTGTACTGCTATACATTGAGCATAAAAGTGTGGATCCTTGGGGTCTGGCACAATAAAGGGGTTACATCCAGGGGACTATTTAAATGCTGGGGCATAGCAGAGACCTTGTAAATCTGTGACAAGTGCCTTCACCTGGAGATTGTCAGACAACAAACAATTACTAATTAGTTCATAGGATGTTGCAGAAAGACTAATGCTCTGGTCCGAGTGGGCGTCAGAAAGAACCAGAGCCATCCCTGGTGGTGGTACAACAAAAGCTACAAGAGTCTCAGGCCATCAACCACTCCCAGAAGCTGATGTTTAGAGACATAGTGGAGATTAGGTACGGAGTGTTTACATTGTACTGGCTGGTCGTGCTGATGTGTTTATAATCCAGCAAGATCCAGGTGAGGTTAGAGGGGGACTCTAATTCTGGGGATCAGGGTTACTAGTGGCTCTGCAGCCTGTCACGTTGATGTGTATCTGGGGGTTCAGGCTGTGCTGCGTGAAACAGAGCGCTATGAGCTTTTTTTCAGTGACAATGAATAGAGAACTATATCTTTGCTGGAGAATTCTATAATACCATGATTCTCATCTCATGTTACAACAGACCCTGTCTGGGAATCTGACGTGAGACCTGGTTTCTGATTTGCAAGTGTTGACCTCTCACGTCTGCAAAAGAAGGCAGGGGAGCTGTGCTTTGAACATATATAAATTGCTGTATAATGTTAACTATTCTGATAAGTCAGATCCTAGGCATCTCAAATTGGGCACCCAAGATTAGTGACAGTAGTCTCTCTGTACCTCCGATCCCCATCTGTAAAACAAGGCTAATACCCCCTCATCTCACCGGGGTCTTGTGAAGATAAATTCTTTAATGTTTGTGAAGCACTCAAATACTGCAGAAAAGCCCATGAGCTAGAGCCAGGCTCTCAGGTTCCCAGCTCTGCCATAGAGAGCATGGAAAGCCAGGACCCCCAATTTGCAAGGCTGCCACAGCGGTCCCCACCAGGTGAGCGGGCAGGGAACCAGCCCGCGAGTCAGCGAAATGGAATGCTATCTGCGAATCAACAAAAACTCATTGAACCTGAACTGTTTTCATTAAACATTTCACTAAGCTCTGTTCCAGCTAAAAATTCCTGACAGATCAAGTGAGGTTGGAATCTTTGGAGACTTTAGCTGCTAAAATCGAGTACGTCTCTACTGAGCATGTGTGAACTGTAAACTTTTCTACAAGGTTTATAACTTGGCCAGATGTAGGTGGATTGTC